CACACATGTCGTTAGATGGGATTTGAACCATGACATTCCGATCACCAGCCGCTTGCCTTGCCATCTGAGCTATCCTAGAATACATCATATGGGCAGCTAAATAAGCAATAAAAGCTTGAATCTGAATACCTATCAGCACTCCCTGTCGTAACTCGCTAATTCAAGGAGATGTGAGAATGATTAAATCATTAATAGTTGTTTTACATGAGACCAATGTTACCTCTCCATCTCTCTAATTTCGATGGAAAGGATGTTGGGCTATTCTTTTAGATAGATCTATGAATTGTTTGTCGTGAGTGATACGATCTATGATTACGATTTAAATAAATTAGGCGTAGAAAATAAATATAAAAATGGGTTTAGGTTGGGATTGAATTCGCGACCTTCTACTTGGAAAGCGGAAACGGTAACGACTATGCTACCAATTTTGTTTTGGTGTTAGCATGAAGCAGTGCTGTGGAATAATGAATGAATACGCCGTTTGTAAAGCATTTCCAAAGCATGAAATTAAAACATGGACGCATAGTGGTATAAGAGCTATTATGCTGACTGTATTCACCTTCATTCAGCAATATTGTTAAGCAATGCAATGGAATCTAATAATGGAGCTAGAAAACAATTATTAGACGTATAATAAAGCATGTTATTGAATCAATTTAAAACAGTCGAATTAAAGCGTCAATATATGTGAAAATTACACTTATTCAGTATGTTATTAGATCAAACTTCTGGTGTGGAATCAGGAAGGCAGTCATCGTTTGTATAGATTTTAATAAGTATATTAATCAAATCAGAGCAATCAGCGGAACAAAGGCGCATCATCGATCTCAATGAGGTTTTCTGAGCACATAATTTGACAACCCATTTTATTCAGCATTGTACACTGTTATAAAGCATTTATTCAATCTATATGCTTATTTGTGACTGTGAATTGTTTGTTGGGTATGCACACCACAGGTGGCGGTACTACCAACTATGATACTTTTAAATTGACCGTTAAATGCTTATTCGATGAACAATTTGATAGTGCTATGTCTGTTTGGCTGTGCCCATAATAAGGGCGATTATTTGATAGACTGACATCGGAGATAATCTATCCGAAATTAACCTGAATGTCAACAAGATAGTAATAAAATTTAATCCTGCTAGTAACATATCATTAGTAGCTTATACTACACACTTAAAAATAACTATTTTTACACGAGACGTTATCCATCTTGGACGTAAATTATGGAACGTAAACAAACATGTCATGTAAAATTAAGTGTTCCCAAACCGAAACATACGCAACTCGACGAAAAGTACGATTGATTGAGTTTATTTACTCGTTTCTTTCAACTGATTCTTATGTCATTTGGGCCGCCTGCATGTGTCGGTCTCAGGGCACGGAAATTTACATGAATTTTTGGTAGTGTGTACCTATAATCACATAACTATCCCATAGGTATAGTTTATTATTAGAATATGGAACAGAAATGCGTTTATGAGCAGTATAGTGGCCCAGTTAAAATAAAAATTATGCAAACCCCATAAATTTCAAGTTAATGGAGCAAAATTCCACTTTTATTTAATATTCTGCGACGACTTGTAATTTTACATGAATTGAAAAAAGTTGAATTTTAATTTTAGAACGCGTGTAAAACTATGCAAACTGTCGCGTAACTTGTATGTGCGCTAGAAATTAACATGATTTATTCAAACTGTGCACACAGAAAAAAATTCTGAATTTTAACCATCTCCCTTCGTTTATTGTTATTCTATAGTCGGCATAAACAACGAAATTGTTTACAAGCTTGCACGCAACACTGCTGATTTATGCGAAATCACGATTAAATTTACATTTAATATCGTGTAAATTTACGGTAAATCTAGCGTTTAAAACGTGTGCGCTACATATCGTAGAAATTGACATTAATGTTTCAAACGGTGTAGCAAATACCTACATTAAGGCGTTTTTGAACTAGTTTCTGTGTATCTATGTCGATTAAATTCGAATGTTTTATAAGTTCTGCCGGTTGGATTTCCATGTAACTTTGCAAAAATCATGTGCAAGGATTATTTAAACCAACTTATTAGTTATTTGGTGCCACAATAAGTTTTGGTTTTAATCATGATTTGTGATTGGCTAACCTTCCGTGCATGGGCCATATTATAATCAAGATTGAGCAAGTTTATACTTATTGTGGCACATAAATAACCAATGAAAAATTATTTTTGCTATGTTTTGCGGCAATCCAATCGGTAAAAGTTATAGAGGAAATGGCTCTAATGTTGGCCTATGGATCTAAGACTGGGCCCATTGCTAAAAATCTGCTATTAATCAATTTTATCTAGATGAGCACGTCATTGGGACGGTACTAATGGATATTTTTGGTCGCTAATGAAAATTTAGTCGAGTGCTGAATTTATGTATGGTCCCAAATTAAGGGCATTGCCCCGTAACGTGGGTAGATCACCTTTTCGTGGTACGTTACGGGATGTAAGATCTACCACCGATTCCTAGTCCTGACAACTTCAAACTAGGGGAACAGGTTTTTTCAGTAATCAAAGGAACACATCTTATTCCTTGTTACTTTTTATGCCTTGTTGATAGTGATAAGTCCTCGGGTTGCCTGGACCGAGGATGATCTTGAAACAAGGAAAAAATGAGTTAGTTTGTCTTCACCTATGTATGTGATTCCTAATCTTCTATTCGTTGTTCCCTAGTTTGAAGTGGTTAAGACTAGGGTTCTGATGCATGGTCATTATCGGTTTCATAGCTTGTTTTTTGTTGTTAAGGAATCCAATTTTGACTGACAAAGGGGCGCGCTTTTGGAGGGTGTTTCAACACTCCGAAGGGTATAACTAGCGGAACCTTTCAGTTAGAATCGATTCCGTGCGATGAAGGCAAGAATGACAACTGTATCAAAACCGAATACTTCATCATTTCTCAATAGTGATGGAGTAATACGACATGCACTAAACTAAGGACACGGAATATACTACAATAGATCAAATTACTGGTCGCAGTGCTGTTATGTCCCGAACAGAGGAAAAAAAAAGGGCATTTAGGCCGACATTACATCCATTTCCCCTATAACAATGAATTGTAACCGATATAAATATGTACACAGAAACTAGCTCGGAAAACGCCTAAATGTATGTATTTGGAGCCACACTAATTTTTGACATGCTAAAAATAGCTAAATCATGCTTCGAAATGACCAATTTACATTTTGTATTTATTTATCTATTTCTATATTTCAATTCTTGTAACGTAAGACATTTTTATGCTACAATGTGGATGAAATGAGGCTCTGTGAATTATAGTTTTAAAATACTAATATTGTTCTCTTTAACTAATCCCACTCATCTTCTGTAAGTTCAACAGGAGATCGGCAGACTAATCCAGTTCACAAGGCCTCTGATGAAAAATGAATGACTGTAATGAAAGGAACTGTGCTGAGGCATTCTAAAGCATGATGAAGCATTTTATCTTTTCAAATAGGGGAAATGACGGCTTCGGCATGACAGACTATTTTCGGCAACCCAAATTGAAACACTATTTTCACTGGATTTTCTTACGAAAACACTTCGCTGAATGCATGCAAACGATTCTTTATGCTTTCAGCTTCAATTTGACTATATTTTTACCACTGAGAAAAAAGCAATCTAGCAGGGTTTTCTTGAAATGAAACACACGCAATACAAATTGTAGCTGATTTCGAGTTGTCGATAATATAACAGCAGATTTACATGCAGTTCAAATGGAACGGTTGCCGAAGAAAAACTGGTTGCCGACAATACTCGCTCTCACTAGAGAAGATTGGAGCTTTGTAAAAGCGTTTCAAAACAGTTTTTGACAATTCTTTCGACTGAAATTGTTAGAGCAGCTGGCAGCAAAAGATTGTAAACAAACAAATACTGCATATGTGTGCGTTCCATAGAGAAAAAGGCTTTAGAAAGAAGGTCGCTGCTTAGGTTGCCGAGAATACGTAAATTCCCCTAGATAACTTGGAACTTTGGTTTTAAAAATTCGAATGAGGAAATTATTTATCAAAGTCTGATTTTTTTTCATTTAGACTACATTACAGATTATTGGAAGGTATACAAGTGAACAATAAGGGTCCTTTTTCATATCTCTCAGATTTTGTTATTTTATTACTTGAAATTCCTTTCACATTCCCTTCAAAGAAAATGGTTTCAACATAATCAGCATTACAGTTTATGAGATATGACCAGATGAGTACATGAATACAATCAATTTTGAGCTTTACAGCGGAAAAACTGCTTTAACTTTATATGTTTTTAATATATTTGTATTCTTACCCAGGCATACTTCAGCATACTTGTAGAAAATTATTTGACCATGCTGGAGCATATGTTTTTGTTTTTTGCATTCAATCAGGGTAGGGGACGGCCACCTTAAGCTTGAGGTAAAATTAAACCAAAACTGTATTCAATTTCCGCGACTAACTAATGAAAGAAAAAAATCATGTGGGGTAACTATGGCCTCCTCTAGGGGTAAAACAGCCACATGGAATATCGCATGATCCTGGCCATATCAAACGTTACTGTCTTCGGCAAAATTGCACAGTAGGTTAAGGCGGATTTGTTAGAGAATAGTAGTAGAGAATTTGTGCAAGTCAATTTCCTGTTTACAATATATCTTGAGGTCTTCACTATTTAGAAAGTTTCCGTCTTGGGGAAAGTAAAGTTGTTCAGATGACAATGCCTTCTAATTTTTCTGGGCTGGTTAGTTCAGAATTATATCGCGACACTATTCTGCGTGTGGACTTCACGTCAATGTCCTCACTTCGTAGATGGTGAAGATTGTAAGATATAGTTTATAGATACAGAAAGTTTACATGTACGTCTGTTACAATGAATAATATACATATATACAATGTTTTTTTTTTTGTTAAGATCATAAATAGATATAGCATATTATTCAATCAAACGATAAACTTACAAATAAATTTTTTTAGCAATTTTGCACACCCATGGATTTATTCAAAAATCAAATGAAGAAAGATACAGTTAGGTAGGTTTCAGAATATTTCAAGCTGCTCCATAGGCATCCATTTCGAGCTTTCCAATGCATCGTAGATATTTCGATCTCTCTCCATGACTTCTCGATTCATTTTCTCCACATCTACAGTAAACTTGTGCTCCACCAAAGTCAACTCCTCATCCTCCACCTGACTGTGATGGTGATGATGCTGTTGCTGGTCATACGTTTGATGAGCATATGCAGATGCATCCGCTGTTACCGTGGTAGCCGTAGCCGCAGGCATCTGGTATGCCGAGTAATCAGCCGTCGTACCCGAGGCATCGTAATATCCTTGCCATGCGCTGTAGTTTTGCCAATAGGTCGATGGGTCATAATACTGGGAGTAGTCGGTGGCAGTGCCGTACCCCAGTAGACTGGCAGCACTCGGAGTAGTAGGGGTAGTCGGCCCAGCCGGACCGACTTCGTTTTTCGGCTTCGGAACAGCATTGCAAATTTTCAGAGGTTTACTTCCCAAACCAATGAAACCGTTCATCTCGTACAAGGCACTCTTCTGTTCATCTTCTAATCCAAACTTGACAAATCCGTAACCTTTTGAGAAGCCAGAGCTATCCAGAATGACCTTAGCCGTTTTGATTGAAGTGTATTTGGTGGAAAATATTCGGTACAGACTGTAATCATCCACATCGGAGCTGAGATCTCCCACCCATACGCTAAACTCACGGTCAGCGAGCAGCGCCTTGTTCTGATTGTTTGTCGCACTGTTAAGGCGGAAGCGAACCAGTGGATTGGTACCTGGGATCGGTTTACCGTTAAGCTTGTGCATGGCATCAATCGCAGCTTCGTCTGTTTTGAAACTGACAAAACAGTACCCTGCCGGATCTCCGGTGTACTTGTTTCTCATTAACTTGACCGTTTGGGGATCTTCTCCCATCTTCCGGAACGCTGCCAGAATGAAGTTTTCCGTCATGTAGGACTCCAGCTACAAAGTGGATAACAGAAGTTAGTTTAAGAAATCAATGAATGAAAAGAATAACCTACGCTTCCCATCCACAACTGGCACTGAATAGAACTCATTTTCTAGCGATTATTTAATCTTGAGGCGAGATTTTCTTCAAAACATTTAATTATTAAAAACAGCGATTTGCCTAAAGCGGCTTGTTTACAAAACTCAAAGATTTTTCTTGATAAAAACGTCACTTCATGCCGGCTCGCATCTTTTTTAGTACAGTAGAGAGGAATTTCACGCCGATGGTTGTATGGTCAGTCAAATATTACGTAATGCACAAGAGTGGTACACAGAAAATAAAATTGTTGAATAATATTCAAGGAATCTAAAATATCTCCAAATGACAAAATAACAAGCGATCAACGAACCGAATAATAACGCTATGTCAGAAGTGGAAAACAATAATGATATAATCTTCACCGTTCTTTTTCATGACAAGCAGCTCGTGCGACCCAACTCATTCGGGGCGGTAGAAGGAAACGAGCAAATTGTTGGCAAGCTGCTTCACGAAGTAAAGCCGAAGATGATACACGTGTGTTAATGGGAATTTTTTTGTTATGTCTTTTCCCGATTCATATCAAGCTATGTCCTCATCCGTGTATATTGCAACAAAGCAGGCAAGCAATATATCATTATCCTTCTACCACTCGGATCGAGCTTTGTTACAGAGCGAGTTTGTCATGGTAGTCGTAGCAACCGTTTTGTTTGTATCGTTGGTTGCTTTATGTGTTTGGATTCGCTGATAATATTACATCCAAACAGCTGCACAGAGGTCATTCCGAGGGTCATTTCACTGGTTGTGTAATATTACACAAATAAAATTTCAAATATTGTTTTACACATACTATTCATTTGACTCATAAATTTCATGTGTGCTTCTGGGTGGATTCTGTGTATGTGTGGTCACATGAAAATCATGTTGAATTTGACATGCAAATTCGTCAACAAAAATGTGTGGAATTTTATAAGTATACGTTGTATGATGCATACCGATTTTGCGAATAATTTCATACTGCTTGTATTACGCGAGGTATAACGTTGATTTATATTACTTTTTTTTTTGTTAAGCAGTTCAGTTTTTGTTACAGGTATACAGATTTTCACGTCCAGTTGTATTGGTGTGACATGTGAGAGCGTGTTATTGTCGCGCTTATGTTAAATTCTTATTTGGTGACGGTCGAAGCGCGCCGCTCATAAGCGCGATGCAACCCCGTTCAAAAGGATTATACATAGGTGTGCAAATTTATGGCAGCGGCTTGAGGAGCGAATCCTGGATAAAGAGCCACCGTGTGTTAAATCAATGGGTGCAGTCGTACGGCCGTAAACAGAAAACAGATGGTATAATCACAAACGAAGTGACAGACGACTAACTGGCGAAGAAATCCATTAAAATAATGTGGTTCACTGTAATAGAATTTTCTTGGAAGCTTGTGCAATCATCCACCAGATGGGTTAGTTTTTTTTGTTTTGATTTGAACAAAGTTGATTTTGTGTACAATGATTCTTTGACAGTGTGCAAAGAGTGTATCATTTTGTCATTTTTTTTATGCATTTCAGTTTTGAGTAGAGTTAAAGAGATAGAACCAAAAAATTCTAATACATTTGGTGCAAATGCTAGTACAATCCAGTAGTAGTGTTGCCATGTGGTACAATCTAGTAGTAGTGGTGTTGCCATGTGGTACACTGAAAAATTGAAATAGCAGGTTAGTCACCAAAGTTTCTCGAGCCGCTCCGTCTGTCACTTCGTTTGTGGTATAATCCTTTTTTGAGAAATTATTCTGCCACACACAATAATAAAACCAATCGCTGCCAAACTCATTTCAACAGGTATAATTTCATACATTTTTTGGATTAGTCAGAGGAAAATAATAAAAAAAAACTTTACATGGCGAGGCACACGTGGTTTAAACCTTGGTTTAAACGTTACTATTATCTATACCTCGATATAACGTAACTTTAATTTTTCAACTTCCATCATCTTTTTTTCTCCCTGACCAATCGATCTTTTGTGATACGTCCATATTCTTTGTTTAGTGCATGTCTTCCCTAATAAAATGGTTATGGTTATTTTGCTTAACGACGTGTTCGGGGTATCATCCACCCCATTGGTGGAATAGTTCTATGCTTGGGTTATCGTTTGTTTATGGTATATTTTAGTAGGCATAGTACCCCCCTATCCAGCTTTCCATGCTCGGTAATGGCGGCCTGTTTGTATGAATAAATGTATCCTTTACTGTGCTTTTTGACACTAACTGGAGGGCGTATGTTGTTCCATTTTCTTCTGTTCCTGCGAGAGAGAAAGGGAAGGGGTTGAAATTCGAACATCCAGATAGTGTCAAAAAGCACAGTGAAGGATACATTTATTCATACAAACAGGCCGCCATTACCGAGCATGGAAAACTGGATGGATAAATAATGAGGTATTCGTTTTCGAAACAGTTAAATCAGACACCTACTTGATCATCTCACAAGATTCAATTGTGATGTTCCGCATCATTCAAAGTGTTCTGAGAGCTTTTCAAAACATGCACTCTTATCAAACAAAATATTTTTCATGAACACGATTTCGTGAAAATCGTGAAAAATCATATTTGAGTGTAACGGCAATTTTTAAAATGTCTTGTCCCTAGGATTAGTACATGATAGTTCTAAAAGTAATGAAATTTCATTTCCATATTGTCCCTTCTCTCATCGAGTTGACGTTTTGCTTTTGACAAATCGTTTTCGATTTGTGTTTCTATAGTTTCTTCATTCCGTTCCACCAAGTGCTGCACCGATTGTGTGAAATTTTTAAGGTCTGATTTACATAGAAAAAGCCATTTATTTCACTGAAATGAGATGATTTTGTTGTTCTTCAATGTCGTTTGATTGCGACCGCAAATTACCAATATTATTTGAAACCCGTGTTCCTCAAAATTTAATTACTCATGGGAGTATCGCAAACCCCCTGTTACATCACCGTTTATTTTGATTAAAACCTCCTGAACAAAGCCAACGAGAAGGACCTTCCTGGTAAACAATGCTCTATTTCGTTTCAGGATGTCTCTGGGACCGTTCTTCCGTTCTCCCTTCACGGATCTGACCGCTTCTATGGTCAACTTCCAGCAGTACGACAAGTGCGGTGAATTGGAAATGGCATCCATCGACTGCCTGGAAGCATACGGAACAGTCAAGGGAGCCGAAAAGTGCGCCAACATCTTGGCCGATTTTCAGGAATGCGCCTTCATGAACAAGCAAATGAAGAGATTCCAGGTGAGTGGTAGATGTTATTGTATTTTTCAAAGTTGACAACCATTTGGTAATCTTTGCTTACAGGCGATGCGATTGGAAAGACATCGTCAGGGATTGTTGGGTGACAGGAAGTCTAGTGAATACTATGCCAAGGCGCCACGTGTTGATGCTTATTAGTTCGGTAAAAGGAAATTCGTTGGTGTAATAAAGTAATTTCTCGATACATATTTGCAGCTGAGCAAGTTGTTTGAATGGTTCCAAGATAATGTCCTTGTAACTAAAGAGACTGAATAAATTCAGCCTCTTTACTTGTAACTAAGCATATTTACTGTCAATCCGTTGGTCCCCGGTCCATGAGTTGATGAGTCGATAGGTAGGGTCCAGGTGTGGGAGCTTCCTTAGAGCAAGCAAACGAGCGTGTGGATCCTCTCTTTGGAGCATGGGTTCTAAGTTACTACTAGAGAAATCCGTGTTGTGTTCGATCAGGTGGAAATTAATGGCATCCCTCATCCGTTCAAGAAACTGTGAATTCGAACGAAATACACGTAGGGGGAGGAGGGGCATAGTGAGCATCCTACAGTTTAGTTCTGAATCTCTAGTTGCATGAAACAAATCAACTGGTAATAGGTTCAATATCATTAAGATATTGATCCTACCACCAACCGTCGGAAGTCCAAGCTGGTGCACGGGATGCTCACTATGCCCCTCTTACCCCTAACAATTGCTAAAATACCTTATGTTTTCATTCCGCATGATTTCTAACGTTATTTTCTAGCGACAATCTACCAAAATGTTAACTTGTACGGTTATTTATCAGAGTAAAAACTTTAATTTTTTCAACATGTGAATTTAATGAGTATATCATATTTTATACACTGTATATCATATCACAGACAAACAGACGTAACTCTTTGAAGAAGTATTTATTGAAAACATAGTATCTCAAAACATAGGACCTCAGTAACGACATCTCTCGGGCTTCTCGCGGAAAACAAGCTTGGTCTCTAACTCGCAAACAATATTACATAAAAGTTCTATAGAATGTATAGAAACGTCAAAGTGATCTGATGCCAGCGCTGCGGCGAGTAGTTCGCGGAACTGATAATATTCAAATCAACCGTTAAATTCGTGAACGAAGATACACAATGAAGTGTTGCGTCTGTTTGTCTGTGATCATATCAAACATATTTCAAAGTTGCTCGCAGGTATCAATTTTCAAAAACGTTTACTAGGTTTTATTATGTGTTTTTCTTAAGGGAACCATATTGCCTCCATTTACCCTACACATAATTTTTGTTCTATTGTTTTCGGCATTTCATTTCACGGCTCCATCAATGCTGCATCGTAAATATGATGGTAAACAGAAGTAAATTGCTCAATTACTCAAAATAAAGATGATTTGTGATCTTGTTATCACTTTGAAGACCATCTAGCACCTTTTTATAGTATGGTGCGTGTTGAGTAAATCAAGTTCCGGGGCGTTTTCCGTCGAAAATTGAGAGTATCAATATGTTTACTTAAAAAAGGCCAAAATGAACATTTATGAATATTGACGTCCTATACAACCAATTTTCTATTACCACCAGCATGATACAACCTTTCCTAAGTAAATTCACTTAATTTCCACTTTCATCTTAGTGAAAATCGCACATATTTACCATTTTCTGAAAAATGCAGCTGCGCAGGAGGTAACCTCTCCCTGTGGGTGCAAACTTGTTGTGCATAATTTGCCATGAAAACATCTCCGATCCATACCGAAATAATAACAAATAGTTTTCAAACACGTTTTCTTACACGATTCAAGCTAAAGTTTCCACGGGAAATTATTAGTTTTTCTTTATGGACCGATTTGCCCCAAAAAGCGTTTGTTTTACTTGGAAAATTTGGAAACTATCCTCCTTCTAGTAGTTCTCACTTCGAAATGTAGGTGGCGAAAGCAAGTTTCACTGCAAGACGCCAATAGAGATCTCTAAATGCCCCAAACAAATAGATTTTTTGTCGAGATGGGTGCCACCGAGCGGGTGCACGACGTTAGGCATACGGTCGTTAGGCATACGGACGTTAGGCATACGTACGTTAGGCATACGGACGTTAGGCATAATGTACGATAGGCATAATGGACGTTGGGCATAAAGGACGTTAGGCATAATGGACGTTAGGCATAATCTACCGGATGAATTCCAGAAGGATGATAATGGAGACCGTCTATTGATTGCTGACTTTGGTGACAATAATGAAAGAGCCTTAATTTTTGGAACTCATGAAAACTTGCGACGTCTTGGACAGGCAAAGTATTGGGTTACCGATGGTACGTTTGCCACAGTTCCTTGTTTATTTCGGCAACTCGTCACTGTTCATGGAAGTATCGCTCCCTCACATCAGCCGACGGTTCCGCTAGTTTTCATTCTGATGACAACAAAATCAGAATCGTTGTATCGAAAAGTATGGCAGGAAATCCTGGAAGCAGCAGGTATGTTTTTTTGTTATTGAATGAAAAACCACAGAATTAACCATTCTTGATTTCATGAGCTGTTCTTTGGCATCATATTTTATTCAACCTTGGCTGTTTTTTTTTGTTATTGAATGAAAAATCACAGAATTCACCATTCTTTATTTCATGAGCTGTTCTTTGAGGAAAACCTTTTCTTCTTTGACTTTTGCAATATGTGTGTAAGAATATATTACAACAAATGTGTGATTTTTTTTATTTCTAGATGCGATTGATTTCAAGATATAGTTCAAAACTAAGCTGAGTTTTCATTGTAAGATTACTTAACCACTATCGCTACTAATCATGGATCTAAGTAAATATGTAGATACGTCACTTATGATATGATAAATAATGGATTCCAAACTGTGCTTATTAAATAAACTATGTTTATTTAACTTGTATCATTTTTTTATTCAACGCTAAGCCTAATTTAAGCATTGTTTACAGGTTTACAGGTTAAGCAGGTTTCTTGAGTTACACAGCAGCAAGGTATTTTATGCCTAACGTCCATTATGCCTAGCGTATATTATGCCTAACGTCCATTATGCCTAATGATTTTATGCCTAACGTCCATTATGCCTAACGTCCGTATGCCTAACGTATTTATGCCTAATGGGGTACACTCGCCACCGAGCAGCTCAGTCGAGTATTAGTACAAGACACTGAAGAAGTCTGCATATTGTAGACGATATACGCGTATCTGTCAAGGATAAGCAAATAAGGTAGTGGAATTAAATGGAAACCACAGACAAACAGACATAACACTCGCAAGGTGTTCATCGATCAAGCATTTAACGGTCAATTTAAAAGTATCGTAGTTGATAGTACCGCCACCTGTGGCGCGCATAGTCATATCCCTTGCGTTTGACGTTTACACACTACCGCCATCTGTTCAGTGTACTACCCACCACAGTGTACTCAATAGATGGCGGTAATGTTTTAGCGACGATGTTTTACAGTGAGAAATATTCAATGTGTTATGTCTGTTTGTCTGTGTGGAAACTATTAATCTTTCTCTCTCTCTCTCTCTTCATATGTGTGCAGTGTTATCAACAATCAATACGAAACTAACGATTTTAAATTGGCTCACCACTTTAGTAGCCTATTGGTCCCAAGCAAACGATTAACGTACCCTATTCTAGTTGAAATTCTATTACTACACTATGTTTGTTTTGATTCGCTATGAAAGTTTGACAGATAACATCAGGGGTGTGTGGATTCATGCAGAACATGCAGGGGTGAGTGAAATAGCTTGGGACTGCTTGGGACCGTTGTACTGGTACTGAGTGAGCCAAAAATAATAATGATTTTCTTCGGGACCCAGTGGTCTTAGAGTTACCTCTATGGTGTTATTGCCTTAAAAAAGGATGCTTTAAACCAACGGTGCCAGACCTCCAGACTTTTGGGCACGAAAAAAGTGGACACCATCTTTTTTGAACCCTTGTACCTTTAATCACAGACAAACAGACATAACACTCGCAAGGTGTTCATCGATCAAGCATTTAACGGTCAATTTAAATGTATCGTAGTTGGTAGTACCGCCACCTGTGGCGCGCATAGTCATATCCCTTGCGTTTGACGTTTACACACTACCGCCATCTGTTCAGTGTACTACCCACCACAGTGTACTCAATAGATGGCGGTAATGTTTTAGCGACGATGTTTTACAGTGAGAAATATTCAATGTGTTATGTCTGTTTGTCTGTGCTTTAATTATAATAACTATAAAAACTAAAACTAAAAAATCGGTAGAACTATTTCAAACATATCGTTGGTACTTGAGCGGTCGTCTTTCATCTCTTTTTGCCGGTGGTGGCGGGAGGGGGGGATACCCCTCACCATCCCTATCCAAAGGGGGAGTTTGGTAAAGAGAGATGAAAAAACTGATTTGTACCTTCCTTAAAAGTTGTCCTAGCTCGCTATTCTACTATCTATATGCAATTTTCACTCTTCCGTACTCTAACGGAACTATCAACTCTATACTTTCATCTACTCCATCTATCGTATAAAAATTACCACTACAGTCTGTTATTTGAAATTAGCATCTTCAACTAGGGTAAATGATGGCTTCGGCAGCCATCGACTGTTTTCGGCAACCACAATTTAAACGTTAATTTCGATGTATTTTCTCACTAAAACACTTCGCTGAATGTATTTAAACGATTCCTTAGTCTTTCAGCTTCAATCCTAATACATTTTTACGACCAAGCAAACCTGTTATGCTAGGTGTTTCTTCAAAAGAAACATAAGCACATCAAAATACGGCTGATTTCGAGTTGCCGATAATAGAACAGCTGGTTAACACGCAGTTTAAACCACAAACGAAGTGACAGACGGAGCGGCTCGAAAACTTTGGTGACTAACCTGCTATTTCAATTTTTCAGTGTACCACATGGCAACACCACTACTACTGGATTGTACCACATGGCAACACTACTATTAGATTGAACTAGCATTTTCACCAAATGTACTAGAATGTTTTGGTTCTATCTCGTTCACTCTACTCAAAACTGAAATGCATAAAAAAATGACAAAATGTTACGCACTCTTTGCACACTGTCAAAGAATCATTGTACACAAAATCAACTTTGTTCAAATCAAAACAAAAAAACTAACCCATCTGGTGGATGATGGCACAAGCTTCCAAGAAAATTCTATTACAGTGAACCACATTATTTTAATGGATGTCTTCGCCAGTTAGTCGTCTGTAACTTCGTTTGTGGTTTAAACGGAAAG